AATCCATACCAAGGATGACATCGAACTCGGACATACGCAACACTATCAAATCAACTATGAACTCCGACTTGTCTAAACTGACGGTACACCTTCTACAAATGCTCTCCAGAAGCGATACCTCTCCTAAAGGGGTGGAAACAGATAAAGGGGTGTCTAGTGGCTGAGCTACAAGCTGGAGTCTAGCCATAAATGCATGCGATATGAAGGAATGCGAAGCTCCCGAATCGAAAAGAATACGGGCGGGAAAAGAATTCACAAAGAACGTACCCTCCACTACGGCTCCGCCAGCTCCATGATCGCGTGGAATAACCGCATAAACCCTGCCCGTGGCTGAAGACTGCTCTGCTGCTGGAGCTGGAGAAAATGGGACAATCCGCCCCTGAGGAAACTTCTGAACTGCTCCGAACTTGCCCTCAGTCTTCTGCTGCTGCTGAATTGGACCATTTCCCTTCTGAGCTCTTGTTGGTGCACTGCGGCACTCTAATGCCTTGTGTCCGACCTTGCGACAGTTAAAACAAGTTCCCCGGAACTTGTGCTGCTGACGTGCTTTCTGATCCTGTTGAGATCCCTTCTTATGAGGGCCCTGTTGTTGCTGTTGAGGTCCAGTCAAGGGTCTCTTGTTCTTACCCTTGTCTCCGACGTGTACTCTCTTAGTACTCCCTTCCTTGTCCCTCTGAAACTTAGCTGTCCTATTTTTTTGAGAAATAGCAGTTTTAGCTACTGGTGGTGGTGGTGTAATGTGATTCGTCACAAGCTCCTCGATTGCTGCTATCCTAGCGACTAGGGGAGCCATAAGATCTACCAGGTACTGGGGAGCCTGCTGCGGCTCAGGTGGATTTTGCTGTGGTTCAGCCTGTCCAGATCTCTGAGTACGTGACATATCATATTCTAACATCTCTATTCAAAAGAAAATAAGAGTTTAGGAGTCAAAATAGACCTCTATAAATAGCGTATCACAATACAATTTTCACCTATATAGTATTTGCATAAATACTTTAAATTTATACAAAATAGTCATCATAAAAAAAAATTCTCAAAATTTTGAGATATACGCATATATCGTCCTCACTCATACTAGGAATTCCTTTCGGACTATATACATGAATCCTAAGAAACTCTATCCTAGTTCCACGACTCGACACAGGATGATCCTAAGGATATTGGAACTAGAGCTCTAATACCAACTGTGACGCCCCTAGGTTCACGCGAGGCTGCAGTCCTCGGTGAAACCAAGAATGTCAAACCTGCCATGCACCACACCGTGCAATAACATGTTTCACCATCACAATTAACATCTATCTAGTAGAATCAAGGAATACTGATGAAATGATAATAGTCACATAAATATCTCATCATCTAACGTACAGAAATACATAGTCAAGATCTGAGTAGACAAACTGGAATACTCAATAAGTCTCAAATACAAATATCTGGCGAAAAGGAAATAAGGCACACAACCTTTACAACTTCTAGAACAAGACTCTCAAATGTCTAAACAAAAATCTACTTTGGAACTCCAGAAGAAAATATATAACTAAATAGACGGCGGAGGCTAAAATGCATCCCCATCAACCTGCGACTCTCCGACTCCTGGCTCATTACTTGAAAGGGGGAGGGACAACGAGCATCAAAGCGCTAGCGAGTAATATCACAACCAACCCCAAGGGAACATGGCTCGTTGTATAAGAAAATACAATTAATATATAAGAGATCTAAAATCATTGATCTTACTAAAGAGGGTTTTAGTATTTAGAAATTTACAACACGAGCATAGGTACGTCGAGCGAAATAATCCAAACAAGGAAACCCTCATGTATATACCTTGTATCTCAAATTGTAAATCCAGTATCAATAATAAAAGAAATACGACAAAACACAGAGCATAAATACAGTGCTGTGACATAGCCAACATGAGTATCATGTTATTACTTACATGAATATCATATCAAAATCTACATAAGTGTCATGTCAAACTCACATGAGTGACATGTCAGAAAACGATTAAGTGTCAAAAACATAGACTATATAAATTAAACGTCCAACCAATAGACTGCGTGAAGTAAACGTCCAACTCATGAACTGAATATAACCGTTGTCCAACGCATGGACCGGATGTGACCGTTGTCCAACGCATGGACCGGATGTGACCATTGTCCAACGCATGGACCGGATGGTAATGCATATCCAGAACGAGGATTAAATAGCCATGCATGTCCAACACGAGGACTAAGTGGGAAGGGTGTCCAACACGAGGACTAAAAGGTAATGCTTGTCCAACACGAGGACTGGGAAATGGTGAAAATATCGCTGAGATACATAGTGAAATCTACCTATATCAATTCACAATCAAATCAGTGTGTATATCCATAATTGGTACCCTCAGGTCTTCTATCATGCCTGGGTACATAGTAAGACCAATCCACATTTGGTACCCTCAGGTCATCTATCATGCATGGATACATAATAAGACTAAAAACCAGAGTCATATGATCCAGGCAAAATCTCAAATATGAGAAAAATACACAGAACAGGAAAATTGCAACAGACAGTGTGTCGGTCGACCGACTCGGTCGACCGTACACTTATACGAGCCTGGCGGTCGACCGCTAGGCATTTCGATCGACCGGTAGAACATCGCGGTCGACCAGTGTGGTCGACCGCAGACAAATTCTGCCCCTACAGCGAGCTCAGCGGTCGACCGCACCGGTCGACCGCCAAGCGGACAGAAACCCAATCTGGGTTTTCTGTCAGCTGTTAAACCTGTAAACAAGTAAATTTTTTATTTGATATTAAAATACTAATGTTTCTAATAATCATATAACCATATACGAAGAAAATATTGGTGAACTTTATTACCCAAAACATTGGTGGACTTTTTATAAACTGAAACACAAGATTTTCGCATCATATGCTATAAAGAATATATTTTTATACTCACATATACGTTTTAGGCTCAACAAATCCCATTAAAACTGATTAGAAAACTTTTAAGAACATAGGAGAGGACTGGGCGAGATGTTACTCGCCTGAGGGGGTATTGTAGAATTCCTGAACACGCGTGAGCATGCTCCTCCTTCGATAGAATCGCTCCAAATCCCGCTGAAACCCTTCGAGACTCCTCTAAAATCGCCAAGAACGGATCTAGGGTTTGGGAGAGAAGAGGGGGGCTGCTAGGGTTTGTAAAACAGAAGAAAAGAGGTGATTTTCGTGATATAACATGTATATATATAGCAGCAAACCCGAAACCCGAAACCCGAAACTGGAAATTCAGTCTGACTAGGAATATTCTCTTCGGTATTTTGGCTATAACTTTCTCATACGACCAGGAATAAGGTGATCTAAGATTTGTTGGAAAGCTCTTAAAGAGACCTACAACTTTGGTATTATACACTTTTTCAGATTCTTAATGAATCAGTATGAAAAACATAGAAAATCTCAACTGGTCAAAATTCCCAGATTCTCACTCTTGGCCTTTGTGCATGATTTGTGTATTTGTACTCACATATATACATATATACGTTGAATTGATCTCAAATCAATTCCTAGCATACTCAAACATCATAATATATTATTTATAAATGTATAACATATTTATTATTATTTATTATAAAGTATTCAAATTTTCGGTTTTACATCTGTACACTGAAGTGAGTAATTACACTGTTTGAGGCTGATTGGTACCTTGTCAATTGCTACAATCATGTTTGAATTCTTGCATATCTTTGATGTGCTTCTTGATTTATGATGTTATAGTTTATTCCCCCCCTCATTTTGGTTGATTTACATTCAGGACTAAGCTTGAAGCCTTCTTATTACGCTACATGGAAGATGGCCTTATATTGGACGGTGTTATGGCTCAGGACATAAACCAAGCATCTTCATTTTGGAGAATTCGTGAGGTTTTATGTCTATGCTTGATTGATTTTTTACCTTTTTTAGTGGGAACATAATCCGTGATTTTAAGATGTTAGAATGCTTAAGGATGGCTTCGCACTATCATATGCCAACCTGGAGCTTCTTCTAGCATATAGTTTAGCTGACATTTTCTTTTCAAGAGCTGTTTAGTTAATTTTCCAGAAAACAATAAAAAAAGAAATCTGACAAAGAAACCACCTACAAGTCATTTCCTTTCAAAAATAAAAATAAAAATCCAAATTGGTTTCCTAGAATTGGAGCAACCAATTGAAGGGTGCCACCTCAGCCTCCCTCTTGATTTCAAAGTGGGAATGAAATTAAATAAAATAAAGTTTATAGGAAATGGGTTTCCTGTAATGTTGTTTCCTGGTTTTTTAGATAACAAAACAGACCTTCACAGTTAACAATCGGTTTTATGTAATAGAAGTTGTGATAATGAAGCTGCACAAAGTTGACAAAACAGTTGAGCAGTAACTTATAATAATTTGGGGCAATAAAAGTTTTGCTTAAAACGTTGTTGGTAACTATAAAAAAAATCGATTCCTGGCTAGAAACTGAACACATTCAGAATTCTTGACAATTGCAAGTGGTAATGCATAACAAGGTACCAAGCCCTCATGTTTGTTATGGCAGCCATCATCTCTCATATAGTTGGGCATATTATGGCACCAAAATCGGAGCAAAGTTTAGAATTTTGTGTATAAAAATACTTTTCCTTAAGAGTCATCAATGTTTATGCTAGAGAAATGTCAGTAATTCCCACTTTCAAGATATAGGATGTTCAACAGATCCTAGGAATATGGACCTTTGGTATGTTCAGGACATGAGCGTGCTTGTAAAATTTCAATATGTTGAATTGTGAATTGTCTCCAAAATTTGAAAAAGTGTGACGTTAAAAAGATAAGCAACGTGGATATTTCTTCATGATTCTACATAGCTTCCTGTTTAAGGATCATGATTCAAGTATAAAGAATGTCTGAAATTATATTTCTTTTGGAAAACCTTCTCACTCCAAAACTAAAGCATCCACAAGGTTTCTCTAAATGAAACCTCTTTAAATTTGTTTAAAAAGTGGCAGATCTATTTGTTTCTGCTTCATATGCAGGTGTTTTCCTTTGTACTTTATATTCCTCTCAATTGTTTATTTCTTTCCAGAACATCTTAGATGGAAAAGGAGTGAATATGTCAGTTATAGGTAAAGCACTCAACTATATTTAGAAACACACGTAAGTCTCCCTTTCTCCCTTTGACTCTTTCTAATAACAACATCAAGCTTGTCATTTTTCCTTAACTCCTCTCTTACAGCAGTTAATTCTTAATTTCGCCTTTTAGTTGTATGCTGTTAGTTTCTTCATTTCCATGATTTATGAATGTAAATTATGCTGTATTTTGTATACCTCAAGATTCCCGCTAGAATATATTCAGCTGCTCATTATTATTATTTTATTAGCTCAAGTTTCTGTCTCCTCTAGATTCCTCTATCATTTATTCAGCTAATTTCATTACTTAATTAAGTCAACATTAGGAAAATCTCATGGTGGCAGGGTATAACCGAAGCATCAACGAAACAAGGAGCTGTGTACAAGTATGACTTATCTCTACCTGTTGAAAAGCTCTATGATATTGTTGATGAAATGAGAGAAAGGCTTGGTAGTTTACTTCTTCAAACTTCTATTTAGTTTTATCACATTTATATCACAAATTTGTTTCAATTTCCCCTCTACATGGATTGTGTTTTAGGGCAAGTTGCTAAAGTAATCGGGTATGGCCACCTTGGAGATGGTAATTTGCACTTAAATATACTAACAAACCAGTATGATGATGATGTAAGTATGCCCAATTAAGCTGAAATTTTCTTGTGCCTGACTATTTCACAGCTTCAGAAATGTTAACTTGTGATTAATGCTGCAGGTTCTTGCACAAATCGAACCCTTTGTATATCAGTGGACATCAAATCACAGGGGAAGTATCAGCGCCGAGCATGGATTGGGATTAATGAAAGCAGATAAAATTCACTACAGCAAGTCTTCTGAAACTGTAATTAACTAACAACTGAGCTCTTCTTCACCCATAAAAACTTATTCTTTATCAAGGAATCTTCTTGTTCTCAAGTTTGAAAATTCTCTCTTTAAATCAAATCTTGCATGAGGTAACTTTTTCTTTTATAGGGTTAGGCTTCTTAGCTGAGAAGAGTTGTAGCCTTCTTGTTTATCTTACGGTCCGTTTAGACTAAATCAGCGAGTCAATTGTGGGGTCATGGAGATTTTAGTTCTCTCCCTTTAACTACTTAGTTTTGCGGTTGAGTTCATACTAAATCGGAGAGTCAATTGTGGGGTTGTGGAGATTTTAGTTCTCTCCCTTTAACGACTTGGTTTTACGGTTGAGTTCTTCTCTGTCTCTAAAACATGTCTCTAAAACAATTAGCTATTTGTATAATTAGATTAGTGAGCATGATCATCTTCCTTTTCTTTATTGAATTGTTTATTTAGCAATACTATTTCACGAATTATTATCATTATTTGTTCTGTGTTGCACTGAATATTCTCAGGTTCGACTTATGGCTTCAATCAAGAAACTACTGGATCCCAACGGAATAATGAATCCTTACAAAGTTCTGCCTCGTTCTTTGCTCGCAAACTGAGGAAAACTGCTTTCTTGTATGGGATTGCTAGTGCCATTGCCTGTATATAAAGCTGTGTCCAACTCTATAAGCTGTTCTGAGCAGAACTTTATTTTGAGCAGATGTCCGTCTCGTTGTCAACAATATATACATAAATTTATCTTTAGGGACTGGTTCTTTGTAAATATCGTTGCAAGAGAAGCTGTTAGGGCCGTGTCCATGCAATGGACTTTTTTTTTATGAATAACAAATCTTCATATTGTTCTAATGAGATGTTGTATACATGTTGCAAGAAGTTAGAATCAAGTTTGGAAGTGTATAAAGCAAGATAACAAGTTAATCAAAGAAAAAAAATCAGGAGTGAAACTCTATTTTGAGCATATGTTTTGGTGATATATATGTTGAGATATAAATATTTAGTTAGACGTCGTCGAAACAGTCAGCAGCAGGTAGAGAGCATACATTTGAGACTGAAACTTGTACGAGCCATAACTTTTGACTTGGTTATTGGATTCGTTATTGTAATAGCTTTCGGAATGCTCTTGATCTGATCTATGTAATCATTGATGGTAGATTGAGCCTATTTATGGTTTACAATGAGCTATCGATGAACTATGGGACTGAGTGGTAATTTCCTGAGAGATAAACAGTAAGCACTGATGAGTGAACAATACCATCGATGATCAGGTTTCCTAGCGATGGCGATGACGTATTTTAGCAGATTTTATTTTTTTATCTCAACTGTTCGTCATTCTTTTGATGTCCAACTTCTACCAAGTCTAGGATATCTCTTTCCTGATCTGTTATGGGCTCTATATAACAGAAAATGAGAGAAAGAAGAGACCATTGATTTGAGGTGATCTAGGGTTTGAATTTTGAGAACAAGAAAACTTTTTTTTATCTTCCAGAGTCCAATCAATCGCATCCTCAACGTTGTTCTTCATCATATAATTGTCAACCTTCAAGGAGTGTTGTCCTTGGACTTCATCGTCATCATCGTTCTTCCAAATCTACATTTCAATCATTGGGCGAATGGTTTGCTAATCAAAAGGGCTACAAGATATTTCTAGTTACGCTTAATCGTTATTTATTTTATTGGTTCGAACTTGTTTTTACGGTGTACTCGAGCCATGGTGAATTGAGGTCTACGACCTACTCCAGATGGTGATAATTGAGAGTTGAGACTAGCTAGGGCGGTTAGACAACTAGTTTCAGATAGATTTCAGGATATGGTTTTTGTAAGCCTACTGGATCGGATTATGATTCAAGTGAACTCTGGTCATAATGAGGAAGCCCCTTCATGAAAATAAAGAGTAGACGCAGGATTTCCATCTGAACCATTACAAAATCTTGTATGTTCTCTAGTTTATTTTTTGTTTATTTTTGTTTTTGTTTTTATTTTGATATTATTTCAGCTGTAAATTTTGTGTTTTAGCAAAAATATGTAGTAAGCCTATTCACACCCTCTAGGTTTACATCTCAGTTCCAGTAGACATGCTAGTTGTATGTAATTGCAATTATTATAACCGTTGACCAATACAATTGCCGGTGCAATTCCTTAGTTTAATTTTAGAATTTTGTAAGTTTCAGCTGTATTGTCGTTGAAGGTATTTGCTTTGGAGTATCAAGGGTTTTGTAGACTCTTAATAACAGAGGATGCAATTAAAATTGCAAAATAAGCCCCTTTTGCTGATTAAGACGTTGCAGACATGATTTATTATTGTTGAATGATAGCATTGTGTGTATCTTAAGTATTCTAAGTTTCTTATTATGCTCTTGTATGTCGCTGACATGTAGGCTTGTCCAAACGGCAAGCCTAACGGCCCGGCCCGGCAAACGGGGCCCGGGTCGAGCAAACCCGGGGCCTGGACCCGGGTCCGAGCAGGCCTGGCACTCGGCTGTCCCGGATATTTTCTTTTTTTTTTTGTTAAAAAAATTTTAAGAGTAAATAACAATAAATTAAGTAAAATTTTGATAAAAAATCAATCATATTATTATTTACTTGTAATTACATAATTTACAAATACAAAAAAATTATAGAAAATAAAATGATAAAAATAAATTCTTTATTAATAATCAGTTAATCACTAACAATTACAAATTTATTTTGGAATTTGTCGCATCACAATAGATGAATACATCCCAACTAAGTTGACACCTACTCATCTATATCACTATCATTTGTAAATTTTTTCAAAATAATTTATCACAAATTTTTAGTTAAGAAATAAAAATAACAAACTAATGAATAATTTCTATTCTTTATCTCTATATGCTATTCCCAACTAATGAATAAAAAATACATTATGCTTATTTAAGTACAATTATACAATTTACTTATATGATATACTTTTATATATACTAGATGCAATATACTTATACATAATTATACTTATGCACTTATATATACTTATATAACTGTAATTCTATAATATACACATATAAGTATACTTATAACTACATTATATATATTTATATTCTTATATCTTAGTATCTATACCATGCTAAGAGTATATATATATATATACAACTATATAGCATATATACATATATTATATATAAATATATTGTATATACTTATAAGTTATAAAATGAGAGAGAGAGAGAATCAGAGAGAGAGAGAGAGAGAGAATCACAAAAATATATATTACTTATTTATAAATACGTATTATATAGTTATATATGTATTTGTTACATACTTACATTATGCTTATTTAAGCATAGTTACGTAGTTTACTTATATGATATACTTTTATATATATTAGATGTGTATATATTTATAAGTCATAACATGAGAGAGAGAGAGAATCACATAAATATATATTACATATTTATAAATACGTATTATATAGTTATATATGTATTTATTACATACTTACATTATGCTTATTTAAGTACAGTTATACAGTTTACTTATATGATATACTTTTATATATACTAGATGCAATATACTTATATAACTATAATTCTATAATATACACATATAAATATACTTATAACTACATTATATATATTTTTATATTCTTATATCTTAGTATCTATACCATGCTAAGAGTATACACACACACACATACTTTCGTACTTAAATACATACAACTGTATATACTTAGGACTATGATTCTATGAAGCTATGACCATTTTCCTCAAAAAAATCACACACACACACACACATATATACATTAATACCCATATCATAATATAATTATATATAAAAATATATATGAAAAATAATTATTATTAATTATATATAATATATATATATTTGGGCAGTGCTCGGGCTTCACAGCCCGGGCTGGCCTGGACCTTGCGGCCAATAGTACACCATATTTACATGTCGTTCCTTTCTCTAGTATATATACTATATATATATAGTATATATATATATATATAAATATATATATATATATATATATATATATATATATATTATTATATATATATATAATTAGTATATTATATGAGATAGTATATATATACTATTATATATATATTAGTATAATGTCTTTTATATTTTTAATTCATTAATTAATGGAAGTCAATTTGATAGTGCTACTTTGAGTGTCTCCTGCCAATGATAATGTTTTAGACAGTAGATTGTGAAATGTTGATTTCTTTGGAATCAGAGAAAGATCATTCGGCATATTTGAAGGTTTAGACGCATTGCTATTAAGATTGGTATTTAATAAGAACATAATTAAGTTGACTCAACAGTTCAGTCACTAAATATTGATCTCAGACTTATCCCATCTTATCCCAACCGCCAAAATCTGACTTAAGTTATTCTTCGACAGCCAAAAGTTATCCTTTCCTTTGATGAAAATTTAGAATATAACGAAGTCACGAGAACAAATTCTCATGATCTTGATGCAATCAGCCTTGCTAAGAACAGTTGGCTCAATATTTGGGCAACAAAAAGGAAGATGCAACAATGACTTGCAACGTTATCCGATCCAAAGTTCTTTTCTTTTTATTAGTTTCTCTTTTTTTTATGTACGACTGTGTACATCATCAATTACATATATGCATCTGTGCAGGGTACAAAAGTTAGGTCATTCCCTCGATGTCTTTTGTCCCCAGTAAGTTTACATACGTCATGTATTATTATGTATCTACGTAGGCTGAAACATTTGCTGCCATATATATATTTATATATATATATGCTTTTTTCCTTTTTCTTTTTTACAAGGGAATATTGGCCAGGGGATCGAAGCCAAACTGAGTGCGAACCTTAGGACCATTCTCAGACGCTACACTTCTAGGAAAGCACACGCTATTCAGCCAAACCACTTGAGCAACCTATTGCCTATTGGTGGTCTCGGATATGCATGTTCGTTCGAAGGAGCTTAAATCACCGAGTAACTTTGCTAACCCAACGCAATAAAGTAATCAAGGTTCTGTTTGAATTTGATAGTTGAAACGAAGGAACGGCTCCTTTGAGTTTAGCAAATGAATACAAAGTCAAGGAGGTTATTCCCTTCATTATTCTTTAAAATGTGCCAGGTTTGTCCTTACCTAAGAATAAACAACTCAATACTATACATGTCGTATGTGCCAAATGAATTCAAAGTATATATATCATGTCGTATGTGCCAAATGCAATTGTTTGAAATACTAGAACTTATCATTTACGAGTCCTAGAGATGGTCCAAATCATAATTGGATTGTTAGAAAGGACTCCAACCTCTAGAATGTGTAAGAGGGTCCACCGTAATCCAAAATCTAATTGTAGGCGTCTAAAAATGCCTATAGGTGTCTGCACACAGCTCGAGACGGAGAGAAGATGACGAACATCGTTATCCGAGTCTAAGAAGATTATCTGACGCCGACAAGTGCATGAGCCAGAATGACGAGCCGACTGTGTCTCGTGCGCTCGGCCACCTCCAATTAGCTCGCGCATGTCAGTCAACGCGCACTTCAATCAACGCACTCACGTCAGTCAACGCGCGCACGTCAGTCAAAGCGCGCACGTCAGTCAGCTTGCGTTCGTCAATCAGTCTCAGCGAAGCATACAAGTTAACGAAACACCAAAAGGCGAAAAGAAAGGGAAAAAGAGCATCAACTCGCACACGTGCGCGATTCACTTGTAAGTGAACCTCGGCCTCGCGGTTCACTTGGAAGTGAACCGCGGCCGCGCGGTTCACTTTGATGTGAACCGCGGCCGTGCGGTTCACTTCCAAGTGAATCGCGGCTGCGCGGTTCACCATGAGTTGTTTCGCGCAGATTTGACCCGAAAACACGTTTTGACGGTTTTCGACTGGTTTTCTTAGGATTTATCTGTTCCAGGGGTTCCCAACTGACTTGATATTATCCACAAACATGGTTAGACCATTATTGACTGAAGATAAGGTTAAATCTCTCATTCTCATTCAAATACCCGCATCCGAAGCCTATAAATACAGGCCTAAGGGCTCATTTCACGGGGCAGAGATCAAGAGGGCGAAATGCTGCCGAATTGGAGAGTGGATCCATGAATTTATAGCGAGGATTAGCAGATCTTAGAGAGTTCCTGTGCATAAAGAGTGGAGTTCGAGAGATCTGAGTCCCGTCCCCTATTCCTCCGGATTTAAGCTTAGTCTTTAATCT